TGTAGTTCCAGTTCAAAGTGCGTCGCTCTCAGCAACGTTGATGTTGCGTTGCCGCTGTGTAGTATTTTCTTCAATTGTCGATACATACTCTGTGATTCAAGAGCACTCAAGCGTGTCCTACCTTCACTGTCGACTGGATATCGTGCGTGGTTCTTGTGTGAAAAACGAAGAAGCATGCGCAATAAGGAAAAATCGTTGTTTTCACACAGTTCCCATATTTCGTCAATGTCCTCCGTGGCAAAAAATAGCAGACATATCATAAACGAGCGGAAGCTGTGGTAAATCAAATTGCACGTGTTGCGATCGGGGATTGCATTCACAATCGATGATATCGCAGTCAAAGGTATACCTTTGAAGAAACCTGAAAGCTCGTGTACAGATTTGTAGGTTGAAAGCACATGTGTGAGTTGAATAACAAACTCGTTTTGCGACCCAAATACTATTTTGGTACGATATAAGGACGCTGTTCGTGCTTGCACTTCATCAATCGAACGGTCGACGGTGGATTCGTCGTCGTATGGAATATCGACTTCAATTTTGGGAAGATGTGACATTGTATTTTCGTAATACACTTTTTTCTAAATTTTCTTGAAAAACGTGTAGAAATAAACAGAAAATATTTGCGCGCGAAAACTGTGTTCAAGTGGAAGTTTTTGCACGCCTAAAAAATATATATTTCTTCATACAATTTCACAAAAAAAAATAAGATATTTTTAGATTTGGCGTGAAATAAAGGCGATTTTACATTTGGCATGAAAAAAGGCAAAAATGCGTTTGGACACAAACAATGGGGGGGTTTTTTTTAACCAAAATGAAGGTACTTCCCTTGTGCCTATATTAAGCGCACTAGAACCATCGGGGTTATTTACCTCGTACGTTCCACTTTTAGTGCCTGCTACAGAGATTATGTATGGACCTATCCATTTAGATGTTAATACAGTAGCATCGGAATTACGTTAACGGATGTTAACTCTGTCACCAACCTGATACTCTGTTATCTTCTTGGTAGTGTTCCAACGCTTTTGCCTTTTTAATAAGGTTATATTGCGTATTTCTCGCAAGCAAGGATATACAACGTTATAAATACGTTGGACCTTCTCTAACCATGGTAACTCATGGTGATCGGGTTCGTCCTTGTTAAAAAGGATTTGTAACTCACTATATCTGCCACGAAAATAGTGAGCGGGTGTAGTTCCTGTAACCGGATCAGCACACTCGTTCATCTGTGTTTGTACCCACTTAAGGTGGTACGGCCAATCATCTGCATCATCCGTTAATGTAGTACGCAAGAAGAACTTAAGTCTTCTATGGCGCGTTCCATTCGCGCTTTGCGTTTGCGGCTTATATGGCACACCTCTCTTATGGCATATGCCTGATACAAGTACTAGCGATTCCATAACGTCATCGCAGAACTCACCAGCCACCCGTGGTCAGCAAAGACTCGGCAAAAAATTCTGCCACTGTCTGCGTATTCCTATCCTTTAATGTATAAAGCAAGTTAAACCGTGACGCCACATCATAGAAGTGGCATACGTAACGGTTGCCTGTGTGCTCGGAAGTGGGCAGGTCAACGAGATCAATGATGAAAACCCTGTAGGGTCAAATGTCTGCATTAAGGCAAAGATCCATTGCTGGGGAGCGATATCATTTGTCTCCAGCATGACTGTAGATGCATTAAGTGTACGAGTTAGCGTGTCGAGGTCATGGTTGTTTATAAACTCGACCTGCTTGCTGTTGGCATCCCAGCTCGACTTAAGTCGACTGATCTGTCCCTTGTACTTTTGGTTGTCCCTGTGGTCTTGTTCACGTTGGGCCTGAAGTAGTTAGTCTATGCGCCTTTGCTTAATCACAATAATATTCGCATAATATGCTACGTCATCAGCATGATGCGCAGCATGGGCAACTTCAATATTTTTGGTATAGTTGTCGACCGATTTTTTAAGGTCGGTCACCTCGTCAGAGTGGAAATCCTCAGCGGGTTGGTGTAAAGCCGTGCGGTCGAAGCGATTAAACTCGACGTCGTTCACAAGTCTGCGTGGATGATTAATATCTCTTGGCGTCGGAATAACATACCCAGTCTTAACCGGTTTCTGACGATTGTCCTCCCAATTGGGTACAAGTGGTGGAGTATATCTCCTTACCTCCCGGTCTATACGGCCGGGTGTCAGAACAGGCAAATGATTAGCCTGTTCTTCTGGCAATAACGCCTCGTACGGTATATCGACGCTGTGCACCTCTGGATCATATGACTCAGGTGTCGAGCTTGAGTCTTTGGGCGTAATTGCCTGTCGACGTTCTGTCCACTTCTGTAGGGCTTCAGTAATGCCCGGGGAAACATGCTCGCGTAAGCGCTGTGTATGTTTTCCTGATCTTTCTAATTGATCTACATGTTCGACAGTCAAGTCTTTCATAATAGTAGCTAACTGATTCTTAAGATCAGCGTATTTAGTAATTAACTTACTTATATGCTTCGGCTTAGAAGTCTTGGACGTAGATTCGGTTTTGCTACTTGAGCTTGCCTCCTCTTCTGGTTCCATAATAGGTTCCTTTTGAGATTTGTCTTTGTCCCCTATAATTGGGGACGCCCTCATAATTGGGGACTTTCCTTTCTGATTTTCGTTAGAAGAATGGGTTGGGGCATCTTGAGACGTATTCCTTGTCTCACTTCTTGGTTTCGTTAATGCAAGCTTTGAAGTTGAGGCAATAGTTGGCCCTCAGGTTCTGTCAGAAGGAGTAGACTCCTTAAGCGGAGTGGCTACTTCCTTATCTGAAGCATTGTCCTTTTGACTATAATTGTCAGAGGCAAGTACTTTGGCTACAGTGCGCTTAAATGCATCAGCATCGGCGTCGGTTGCTTTTGCAGCAGTAATAACTGCGGCAGCTTTAGCGACTTTTCTCTCCATCTTCTTCTTTTCAGCTCTATGCTACTTAGAAGGAATGTTGTCTTTCTTGGTCATAATCTTAACTTATGACTACTAGATTGTCTCTTAACGACTAGCTTAGACAGGAGAAGAAAAAAATGTTGTGGTAGTTAACTTACCTTTACGCTTAAGTAGTTTAAGTAATTAATACTTTTGCTAACTTTAAAATGTGTAAGATTCGGTCTAATAGAGACGATACTAACGCCTTGGAAAAAATAAACGCGTAGGTAAATTCTATATCGTGTAAATATCGATATACAAAAACGAAATGAGACGGTTAATAAAGTTAGGTTTGCCTCGTGAAAACAGCAATACTCTGAGGGATTGCGAGGCTGAGACATTTGACTATATATAAACCCTAAATCGGACGTCTTTAGTTATTGTCTAAACCAATAACTTGCCACTATCAAGAACTACCGACTTAGCCTCCATCAGACTGGCACATCTGGTTGGCTTATCGGAGGATCAACTAGGTAACGTTAATAGTCCCTAGAAACCTATATTCGGTTGAGCCATCTCGCTACCGAAGTATTCAGATATAAATAAAATTGGAAAGTAAATAAAGCTCTATTAATAGAACTAGACCAACTCTTTTATGTTTGGTATTTTACTGAGGCCTTTTATTGGCCTCATCCAAATATCTGATGTTAAATGGAAGGGGTTTAATTAATAAAACCATTAAAGCCATTTTAGGAAACTTAAGTTCCTCGTGCTATTAAGAGTGCGTTAATAATTTGCGTACTGTTTAAGAGTACATTTTTACATAGAGTCTAATGTGGAAGCCCGGCTTATTACAGCTTCAACAGGGAATTTACTGACCACTTCTTCCCATCGATCTTCGCCGAACCACTACAACGGCTATGAGAGCCATACCATATGTACAAACATTGTAACTTAACTGCTTTGAAATATATAATATTATCCCTACAACACGATCCAGGGGTAATGTATCGGCAGCAGCGTCTGGGGAGGTGTGTACGAGTGCAGATGAGACACCTGAATTGTGACATGCGGCGGCGGCTAGTTATGAAGGACCAGGCCAACCGTTGATCTATAGTTATGTGGGGAGTGAACAGTGTTATGTCGATATGTTTGTTGATCAAGGCGCCGATATGTCGAAGATTTCTAAGGGCTTGGCAGAGCGTCTGGGACTGGTTGCTCAGTATGATTTGTGTGGAAAGTGGGTTAAGGGCATTGGTGCTCTGCTTTATGTGGAATACAAGGTGCGAG